CTACAGCTTCACGCATTGGCTTAAATTAGGGTTTACAGTCTCCTTTACTTCCATTGTTTCTGTTCAGCTGAGGGAACTCAACCAACCCCGTGACGTCAGCCACAGAGACATTCCAAGATGGCGGCGCCCTAGGTTTAAAATCTATAGTAAAACACGCCGTTTTCTGCTAAATGCTTACATTATTTGAGTTTGTTTAATATATTTTCATTAAAGTGGAATCCAATGTACAAAATAAGGTAAACTTGACTGAGTGCTTCATTTCCCCTCTAAACAACTGGATTTTCGCAAAATTACTCGCCATTTAAACAGTAGGCAGTATACAGTATATTAAGCAGTGTTTATTGAGCAGTAACCCCCTCTACAATCCCTGCCCATTCTCTTCTATTGGGATGTATGTGAACGCTCTTCTCTACCTCTTTGTCTTGCATTCTCTCTCTCTCTTGCACATGCACTCGCGTAAAACAATCAAGGTAATGCACCCTCAGTAAAGAGCACCCAATAAAGTCCATTTGCTATAATTGGCCATCATATAGCCAGCGTCTTGAGGGAATGGTAATGAGTGTGCAGGTCAGGTAGTGCACCCCGGGGATGCATCAATCTGCGGACATCCATGGAAATCCACATCAATAAGATCCATATCAATCCAGTCGTCATACAATATAATGCTAAAAAGAGCGATCGGTCACTTTCCGTCAGCCTCATCTTAATAAAGCAAGCATGTTTTTGTGCGTAAAGGCAGCCTTTTCATTAGGAATATTGAGCATTGGGCAAACACGCAGATCTATGAGCTGCCAGAGTAATTGGCGAGTCAGAAGCAATTGTGAGAAATTGGCGCAGGTTTGAATAGGGCACCTTGAGCAGATGCGACTGCATGCGGATTTAAGAATTCCAGTCAGGTCGGGCTTCATAATTCAGCATGTGGACAGAAGGGACCTCCTTCTGCAATGTCCGTCTGAAGGACACTCAAGCAGCACTCAGCATTATTAAATTAAAGCTCCTCTGCCAAAATATACAACAGCAAAAAAGCAGCTCATATCAGACCGAAGCACACCGAGCTGCGTTTGAGGTGGAAGTGGAAGACCCCAGGTCAGTAAGCGATAGGAGCTCTATTGTGGTTTATGATAAAGACATTAAGCAGGTTGATTCATATAAATATTTAGGAGTGAACATTGATAGTGAACTTAATTGGCACTCTCAGGTGTCAAGAATTCATCAGCGATTACACTTTTTACGCAGACTAAGATTATTTGGAGTGAGTAGCAGCATAATGATGACTTTTTATAAAGCAACAATAGAGTCTGTTTTAAGATATGGGATTATTGTTTGGTTTGGGAATCTGACAGTAAAAATGAAAACCCAAGTAAATAACCTAATGAGAGTGACAGGAAAAATCATGGGAATTAAGACACTTGGTTCACTAAAAGACATCTTTGAGTTGTGCACAATCCAACAAGCCAACAAGATTTTATCTGATTCTTCACATGTGCTGTCTGTGGAATATGAGCTGATGAATTCTGGCAGAAGATATAGGGTCCCGTTGTGCAAGCATAATAGATGTAAACATTCTTTTGTTCCTTTTTCAATTAAGTTGATCAACGAGCAAGCAAGGAAAGATGGTCAAAGACTAAGATAACAGGATTGGTTTGCACAACAGAGGGGAGTGGGGCATATGGTACTTTATTTTATTTATATATTTTTTTATAAAATTTTATTAAAATTACTGATTTTATGGAATCGTATTTATATTAGGAGGTATTTTAGGATTAGATTTTAATGTGTATGTATGTTACATGTTGTCTTGTTGGTGTCTTATGTACAGCAGAACCTTTTTTCTAAAACAAATTTCTCCTATGGGAGACAATAAATTTTACCTTGACCTTGAACTGGATTTGAACGCTGTAAAAATGCAGGATTCCACACAATTACTTCATGTTGTCCCAAGACAAATTGGTGGATTAAACAAAACAATTAAGTTGTCTTAAAGGGCACCTATGGTGAAAAATCTACTTTTCAAGCTGTTTGGGCAGACATGTGTGTAGATATAGTGTATAGACCGTCATATTGGGGTGAAATAAACACACCCAGTCCTTTTTTTTTTCAAATTTAACAACATAAAAACGGTGGACCAATTAGAGCGGTTTTCAGATCGACTGCAACTTCACGTAGGAGTGCGGTCCCCCCCGCCCACCAATATTGATTAACAGCTGCGCATCATATCAACAAGACAGGATGAGTGCAAAGCAACCGGGAATAAAAGGTCTGTTCAGTTTGCTAGGATCATCAATCATCATCAGACGAGATCAAGAGTAAGTTTTACAAGTTTACCATGATTTTAAAACGTGTGCACGTGTGTTATAAAGTACAGCGATTCACTTCAGATTCACTTTATCAGCACAGCCGCGTCTCTCTCACTGTCTCTCTGTGTGTGTGTTTGCACTATGTATGTGTGTGTGTGTGTGTGTGTGTCTGCGTGTCTACGCTATGTATGTGCGTGTGTGTCTGCGCTACGTGTCTGTGCTATCTATGTGTGTGTCTGTGCTGTGTGTCTGTGTCTGTGCTGTGTGTTCGTGAACTCATTGTTGCAACTCCACAAAAAATGCATCAAATACTGATTGGTAAAGTCCTTACTGTAGTATTTCTCACAAACGTTACGTGAGATCTGCTTCTTGAGGCAGCCGAGGGTGTGTTGAGGCATGCTGCTGACAGGCACGTGGAAACGGTGGGCGGGGACGACTCTCCTTAAAGGGCCATGACACCCCCCACTTTCAGTTAAAGTCTACTTCAGAATTTTTTCAAAAGATGCATGATTATTGGGCGTGGAGCTCCGCGAGCATCGGGCAGGAGTGGGCGTGGCCAGCAGGGGAGAAGGGGAGCAAACGAAGCTAGCTCACAAAATGAGACAAACCGTGAGGAGACGCATGAGTTTATAGTTTACAAAGTTAAAATGCAAAGAAATAAACAGTGATTTAATGCCCTGCTACATTTGTTATTCGTAATTTCATATACAGACAACCACAATTTAAATCATTATAAAGATAAGTGTGTTCATGTAAACTGTATAAATGGGGACTTCTCCCTCAATCCCCGTATCCAGCAGACTCAGTGCAGCAGGTCTCCTGACCCGTCTATTTTAACCATTAGCCCTGCTTGTAATCTGGAGGATTTAGGCAAACAGCAGCACGGCGATGTGTCTGAATGTAAACGAACTCCTGATGAAAGTCAGCGTCCGCCATTCTCTAATTCTCGTGCTGCTCTCCTGACAAAAATGCTAGCAGCAGCACACACAGCTTTGCTGTATGATCGGCCCTGACAAGATCGCGGGGGAAAACATGCAACAAACCGCGTGGATCATGGAAACAAACGCATATGAGCCTTCATGAACGGCTAAATACTGTGTGCCCGTGGGTCCATGACACAGCTCGGGCTTGACTCTGGCAGGTCTGGCAGGTCTCATGAATAATTAAGCAGCCGGCTCTTCTCATAGGATAAGAAAACTCTGTTATGAATAATAATGAGAAACCGACGCGTCATCATTGCACTTACAGTACTGCGCTACATCGCCGATTTTGATCCCGCCCCAAAAATCATTTTAAAACCGGAAGCTGAAATTAGCTGACAAAAGCTCAAAAATATCCAGTTTTCCCCACAATTAAAGCTGACAGGTGCTAACATTGTCTTAACTGATGCTCAACACACATAAATCTGTTAATATAAAAAAAAAGTTATGCAGGGTGTCCTGAACCTTTAAAGGCCTATAGCAAAAAACAGCAACAACATTTTCCCAGCTATAATACAGACATTTCAAACAGCTATAATAAATACTCTGATGGGTGTTTTGAGTTGAAACTTTACAGACACATTCTGGGTACACAAAAGACTTATAATAAATATGAAAAAATGGTAACCTATGTGCCCTTTAAGAATTGTGTCGATTGTTTCTTTCTTTTTGACAAAAATGAGTGAATACATTTAATTTGTCAAGGACATACACAGCATGTGTTCTAGAAAACAGGGGGCTCTTCCCAACAGGGGGGTCGCGGCTCACAAGGGGGCCTCACCGAGCTCTGTGGGGTGTCGTGTCATATTTAAAAAGTTTTTTGGCAGTGGAAAATGGGCTATATGCACACAGAGGCTGCGTCCGAAACCGCATACTTCCATACTGTCTATAGTACGCTAAAATCGGTATGCGAGCCGAGTAGTATGTCCGAATTCATAGAATTCGAAAATCACTATGCGAGAAGTACCCGGATGACTTAATTCTTGCGGCGAGATTCTGGAGTCCCTGACCCAGCCACAGTGTGTTATCTGCGCAAAGCTTTTTGGCTAACGAATGCATGAGGCCGTCCAAATTAATAAGACGTTTGCAGACGACTCATCCCCAATACTGCAACAAGCTCAGAGCATTTTTGACACACACCCGAAATGAGATGAAGGACGTCACAGCTACTGACAAGAAACTTTAAATTGACAACTAATTGGCAACTAATATAAGGCCCGTTTAAAGGTCAAAGACCTTCGTTTTTCAGTTACACATGGGCTACTGATGTTTTGCTTTTATATTTTACATTAGGCTTTTATTTGTGCATAAACATATCTAGATATGGTAATAAACACACCGCTTGTTTAAAAACATTTTTTTTGTCATCTTTACAGCAAACTTATACGAGCGATAATATCATTAAATGTTGAGGGGGGCCTTACAATATTTTTCGGGGTAAAAGGGAGTCTCTGGCAAAAAAAGGTTGGGAAAATCTATTCGAGTCAGTTGCGTTGCTTCACTCATATTCATGAATTCTCTTTGGCATCATGGGATAGCATAGCGTCCATCGGATGCGCACTTCAGAATCTTGCTGGAAGTAGTAGGTCATGCGGATACTTCTTGACCACTGTTTTTCAATACACTGCTCCCATACTGTTTTTCACACACTATATAGTATGTAAACATGCGATTTTTGGACGCAGCCCAAGTCACTGAGTGTGTTGTTTTGTTTTGTTCTCAGGCCCTGATCCAGCTGCCAGTTTATATTTCCCAGTGCGAGGAGGTCCGTGTGTTCTTTGAGACACGTCCTGAAGACCTGAACCCACCAAAGGAGTATGTTTACACTGCACTTAACACACACACACACACACACACACACACGTTTGTTTTTGTCAAAAGTGGGGACATTACATAAGTTTCCATTCATTTTATACTGTCCAAACTGTATATTGTATTGCCCTCACCCCACCCCACCCCTAAACCCAACCATCACAGGAGACTGTGTGCAGCTTTACTCTCTGATTAAACTCATCCTGTAGGATATATAAGCATTTGGAGAAATGAGGACGTCACCAATGTCCTCATATTTCACCTCCTTTTTGTAATACCTGTGTCAAACCCATGTCATTATATGTCCTGATATGTCAAAAACACACTTCCACACTCACACACAAACACACACACACAGACATGTTGGTTTTAGTGGTTTACAAGGACTCTCCATACTGTATTTTATACAGTAAAAATGCTTATTATATGGCCCTGTCCTACTCCCAACCTTAACCCCTTACAGGAAACCTGTGGCAAACTCTGATTGTGAAAAGACCCTATGATGTATGATTTTTAGGAATTTTGTATTGCAAGGACAAAGGGAATGTCCTCAAACCACATTAATAGAGTTTAACTTGGTCATACTCATGTGATTATACAAAAATCTGTTCTTCTAAACCACCAAAACCAGTATACACACACACACACACACACACACAGCTTAACCTATCTTAATCCATTTTGAGCAGGTTGCTAGATCGATCAATAAATAACCTTTAGTTTACATCGCAGCTGAACAAAATCACAATTCCTGCTTGTTTTTTTTTAGGCTCTTCTGGTGTGTGGAGGAGTTTTTTTAGAGAATATTTACTGAAAACAAATATAGTCAGGCATACATTTAGCAGTGGGGTTTTTCAGAAATGTAGACACAAAGGATCCGCATGTTTCAAGTAATCGCCATTTCCTAGCTCAAAGCAAATTGATAAAATTGGAAGAAAAACAAGTTGACTTGACTATTATGCCCACTATTAAAGTGTAGTTTGACATTTTAATGTAAAGAGAACATTTTTAATTTATATTTATTATGTGTATATTTATCCCAAAGCAGCTTTAGAGAGAGTATTATCATAAAACAATCATTCATTCATTTATTTTCCTTTGGCTTAGTCTCTGATTTATCAGAGGCCGCCACAGTGAAAATAATCGCCAACTTATCCAGGATATGTTTTATGCAGCTCATGCCCTTCCAGCTGCAACCGAATACTGGGAAACACCCATACACTCTCTCATTCACATTCATACACTATGGCCAATTTAGTTCATCCAATTCACCTGTATCTCTTTAGATTGTGGGGGAAACCAGAGCACCCACGCAAACACAGGGAGAACATGCAAACTCCATACAGAAATGCCAACAGGTCCAGACTGGGCTCGAACCAGCAACCTCATTGCTGTAATGCAACAGTACTAACCACTGTGCCACCATGCCATCCTGTCATGAAACAATCAAGCAAAAAAGCTGCCAAGGAAAACTCTATAAATAATCCTAATTGCTCAACCAGACATGCCATATGTATCCTAAATATTTGAAATTTAGGAAGGGTTCATTTATATTTTTGAGGGGGTTTTTTTCTGTAGCACTTCTGGATGCCACAATTTTATTGCTTAGGTATTCTTTTCCATTATTTAATATAAATGTAAGGTGTCACGGTGGCGCAGTGGGTAGCACGATCGCCTCACAGCAATAAGATCGCTGGTTCGAGCCTCGCCTGGGTCAGTTGTCATTTGTGTGTGGAGTTTGCATGTTCTCCCAGCTGCATGCACTTTCCAGCTGGAAGAGTATCCGCTCCATAAAACATGTGCTGGATAAGTTGGCAGTTCATTCCGCTGTGGCGACCACAGAATAATAAAGGGACTAAGCTAAAAAAAAATGCTAATGTTTTTAAGTGCTTGTTTTTAATTACTTTTTGAGTAGTGGCTTTTTTTTTTATTTGAGTCTAAATGCTAGTAAAAAAATAAAGCCATTAAAACTTAGTAATGCTATTGTCAGACTTAACTAATAAACCAAGTTTTAAAAGGGATAAAGTATATTAAAAATCTAATTCAACATTATAAACAAAACAATAGTATATGACACTGAAAAAATGTATATGATACTGCCAGGGTAACAGTGATGTACTGGTTCTAACGTTTGAACAATTAATTAATTAAATGATTTATTTATTCATTTGTTTTAATGAATTAATCCAGGGTGTCCGCTGGGTCTTAAAAAGTCTTAAATATAAAAAACTAAATTTTAGGCCTGACACGGTGGCACAGTGGGTAGTGTTGTCCCTTCACAGCAAGAAGGTAGCTGGTTTGAGCCTCGGCTGGGTCACTTGGCATTTCTGTGTGGAGTTTGCATGTTCTCCCCTTGTTGGTGTGGGTTTCCTCTAAAGTCCAAAGACGTGTGGTATAGGTAAATTGGGTAAGCTAAATTGCCTGTAGTGTTTCCCAGCGATGGGTTGCAGCTGGAAGGGCATCTGGTGTGTAAAACTTATGCTGGATAAGTTGGCGGTTCATTCTGCTGTGATAAATAAAGAGATTAAGCCGAAAAGAAAAATGAATGAATGAATGAATTTTAGGCCTTAAAAAGTGTTAAATTCACTGAGATATTGTGTTGTAAATCATTTTAAACTGGTCTCCATTTTGCTTTATCCAAGTAAAGCTACTCAATTGGGCCGACATCCATCCAGTGACCAACAATACATCTTAATATAATGCAAAGTTTGCAAAGAGATTCAGTTCACAACAGCTTTTAGACATTTTTTACAGCAAATTGCCCAAATTAAGCTCTCTAATCAGAAATTATTTCTCAAGATAAAACCAGGCCATTAGAATAAATCTGAACCCTGCATATGTCTAAAATTTTATTCTTAATGGTCTTAAAAAGAGTCTTGAAAAGTCTTCCATTTGATTGGATGTAACCTGCAGAAACCTTGTAAATAATGAATTTCATGAATTATTTTTATTTATTTCTTTATTCAGTCAAAATAAAATTGATTAAATTACCTAACTTGTGTCTTTTCATTTGCAGGGAACCAAGTGGAAAAAAGAAATCAGGTAAAGAACCCATTTCTTTGAGAAAGTGCCATGCGCAGTTGGATTTGAGACATGTAATTGACTTTAACTGTGGTTAGTGTGCCCTCTGGTGACCGTGCATGTCATAAATCCCTTAAGTAAAGTTTTGAGGTACAGTATCCTCCATGAAATGTTTGTGAAGGCTGCAGCCGTTACTGTGGATGCTTTTGTATTTCTCCTCCACCTTCCTCCCTCACTCCTGCTCTCATTCATCTTCCCTCATCAGGCATTGTGGAGCGAGCGTCTTCTTTCCTAAAGAGAGGTAGTAACAGATACTTGCTTAGCCATGCTCTCTGTGTGTTTGACCTCTCCAAGTGCGGCCTTCCCGTAGGAGGGTGTTTTAGGTGGGCAAGGGCAAACGCTTTGTGCTCGGTTCCTGTGTGATTGCATGGCAGTGTGGTGGTGGTGATGGTGGTTGTTTAATGGAGGACCATTTAGCTGAACCCTTTGTTGATCTTTTTTTTTTTTTAGCTGTTAGGAAATGATACTATAGATCATTTTGAAGGATGTAAACACCAACAATGGCCCCAATTAATTTACTGTTTAACTTTTTTTAAATTTTCATAGATTCTGAGAATCCCAAAAAGAGTCACATATTGATAAATAATGTTATGGCAGCTGTTTTAACATGAAGTTATAATTGAATTGCTCCTTGTTACTGTTAGGAAATAGTTTGATAACAAGCAGGAAATGTTCATGGGCCAATGACATGACCACATTGACATGGTCTATAGTTCATTATAGTGTTCATTAGAGGAAAAAAGGCTCATTTTACAAGTTAAACATTTTTTAATCCATTCAGTAATTTCACTTTTAGCTTAGCTTAGCATAATGAATTGAATCGGATTAGACCATTAGCATTTCATTAAAAAAAATTCCAAAAAGTCTTTTGGTAGTTTTCTTATTTAAAGCTCGAGTCTTCTGTAGTTACATCGTGTAATTAGATGCACAGAAAATGAAAAGCTACTATTTTCTAGGCCAATATCGGAGCTCTACTTTCGTTCGGGTGTTATAATGAAAAGCGCTCAAGGCACTGTTGATAACTACATTTAAGGAATCATTCACAGAAATGAGCAACAACTCAGCTGGCATGTCAGTCTCTGCTTCAATGATTCAGTACAAATCACAAACCTAATCTTCATCTGCTGCGCTGGTGTTGTTTCTATCACAGATTGTATTTGTTTTAGGATCTAGCAAATGTGTTTGTGTTTTTCTGAACCATCTGATACACTGAAAAAAAAAAACTGATTAATTGGATTTACTTAGGATGTACTCAAACTAGGCTCTAGGGATGCAACGATATAGTTAACCCACGTTGGGTGACACATGTTTTTTATTTTTTATTTTATTCTATAGGCAGAGGAGAGGTTAAGGAGAAAAAATAAAAAAAGATTTATTGCAATACTCATTTTGTTTTATTCAAAAGCCAAGAAAAGTATACTAGTTCCTAGTGTATTGTATAAAAAATCACTTCCATATGCACGACGTGCAAGTCTCGCGCCTCCATTGTAAATGACGAACTTACAACCTAAGCTTTTTGGCATTCCTTCCAAGGTGCGCGCTCAGCAGCCACATTTTAATCAAACTATAGCCTTCATACAGAAACTTCATGCCGAATCATTTTTTTTAAATTGGTATTGACAATGGTGTTCGGTGAATAAATATCAATACTGATTTTATCGCCCAGCCCTAAGCATGATTAGTAAATACATATGAAAAAGTCCCTTCAAAGTGAAGTTGCGTCTTCGTTGTGTTTCACACTACAAGTGTACCGCGACAAAGCCCAACCGAACCACACCTCTTGCAACCGGGCCAGGGCCGGCCAACTGAACCACGCCTGGGCCTGAATCAGAGCACTCACACTTGTCAAACAAACCGGTAAATGGAGGTCAAACGTGCCTGAGCACGGTTCGGATAGCCTAGTGTGACCACACCTTTACTTTTTTTTAAGGTAAGTGATGGCAAACAATTTATATGGACTAAATTGAAACAAGCAAAATAAGTTGAATATTACTACATTTAATTTATTTGCTCAAATTCAGCCCATATGAGTTATTTGTCATCACCTACCTTAAAAAAATCAGTAAATCCAATGAATTATTTCTTTCAGTGTACACTATAAAAATGCTGGATTCGACACAATTCCTTCAGGTTGTCCCAACCAGTGTTCGGGAAAGTTACTTTAGAAAGTAATGCATTACAGTATTGAGTTACTCCAAAAAAAGGTATGTAGTTGCGTTACTTAGTAATGTATTATTTTATTTTGAGTTACTTTTGCATTACTTTTCTGACCTGGCTGAGGCTGGCTGGCTTTTTTAATAGAGGAGTTTTGCAATTAACAACACACTGTGTAGCCCACACCTACATTTACCTTTAAAAAACATTTTTAAAAAATGTTTTAGGATAATGTTATCGGATAACTTTTTGACCCCAGAGCTATACATGCCTTATTTTCAGATTATTGAAAGTTTAAAGCAATGTGTTTGCTACTTATGTACTTTTTGTCTTCAGTAAAATCACTGACCATTCAAACCATCCCCTTTTCCTTTTCTTCCATGCGTTCAAAATAATGAACACATTCTCTTATCGACTGTGTGATTCATTGTGACTACTATCATTTTAATTCAGCAATTTATTTTTTCAAAGCGAATTAATTAAACTAAAAAGTAACTTGCATTTTAAAAAAAAGTTACTCAAATATTATTACTTAATTTTTAAAAGTACTCGTAACTTAGAAAAGTAATAGTAACTCACGTTACTTGTAATGCATTAAGCCTGATTTATACTTCTGCGTCAAGTGACCGGCGTAACCCACGGCGCATGCAACACGCGTAGCTGTGCATTTATACTTCTTCGTGCTGTCTCTGTCGGTCTGCATTAACACTTCCTAAACGCTAGTTGGCAGTGAGGTGTAAATGTTCCTCTGTGTCGAGTTTCTTCGCTGGTGTTTCGTTTCCCTGAACACTTCCTGGATGTACAAGTGGCTCAAACTCGCTCATTTTGAGGCAAGAACCGGCGGACGTGCAACAACTTTAACTATGAGGTAAACACAAAACAAAACTTTCCATCCGGAGCTCCTTCACGGGACTCCACACTTGTAAACAATCGCTCGCGCCATTCGCGCGGCTCTCGGTCCCGCCCAGACTCATCAGCGCTACCAAGCCGACCAATCACAGAGCTTACGCTACGCGCCGTTGCGACGTGTAGTTAAATTTTTTGAGAGGTGCACGTCAGTGACGGCGACGGCCACGGCGAAGGGCTATGCGTCAACGTCATAGCATACGCCGGCGTTTGACGCAGAAGTATAAATCAGCCTTTACCCGCAACGCTGGTCCCAACACAAATTGATTAAGTTGTTTTTGCAAATGTAAGTGAATTGAACATGAAACAAGTAAGTTGTCCCAACGAAATCTCAAGAATTGTGTTGATTCAGCTCATTTTAAATAAGTAGTTTGATGAAGCAGCAGAACTCATTTTAAGAGTGCAGATATTCATCTTGTGTCTGTAGCGGTGTTGCTGATTTGGTGTGGGTTTGTTTCTGTGCAAGACTCTCAGCACTAAACCTCTGGCTTTCCTGCTTTGACCTTTTCCCAATCACGTTTCGCTTCTTTCTTCTTTTGTTGTGGTGGTGGGACACTAGCAGAGTTGTCGATAGCTGTCCGCTCTGTCCCTTCAGGAGGAGACTCGTCCTCTGCTGACCCGCTGCTGCTGGACCAGTATGTGGCCGTCACCGACTACGAGAAGCAGGAGAGCTCAGAGATCAGCCTGTATGTGGGCCAGGTGGTGGAGGTCATCGAGAAAAATGAGTCCGGTGGGTCTGTTATTGTTAGATATCACAGAATATATTCGTCTACGTAGATTATCAAAAGTGTTAGTTCACCCAAAAATAGGAATTCTGTTATTCATTATTCCCCCGCATGTCAATCCAAATTCCACCAACACAAATTAAAGGGGAGCTATTATGCAAAGACCACTTTTATAAGGGGTTTGAACACATTTTTGTGGTGCATATTACCAGCTTCTTGTGCTAAAAATGAGTTACTCTTCATAAAAAAAGTCTGCAGAATCACTTTGATTGACATTCTCCCTTTATTAGTGTCATTAAAGTCAGAAAGCCCCCCCCATTAATGATGATTTCACTCTCATTAGCATAGAAAGTAGTCTTGTTTTTGAATCTGCCACTATGCTGACTCATAGATATTTGTAGCTCCGCCCTCTTTTGAAAAGATCTCATTTGAATTTAAAGTGACAGTCTCTAAAACACCAGATTTAGGATTATAAAACATTATTCGCGGGGTATTTTAAGCTGAAACTTCACACATACACACACACACTCTCTCTCTCTCTCTCTCTCTCTCTCTCTCTCAAGGGACATCCTTTTACATTTTGACATACATTTATTTTACATGTCCTAAACTTTTAAAGGACAAAACTAAATTCCCTGATATTTAGTGACTTGGACCAAAATTATCAAAATTTTGAGTTTGAGGGCTCTATTTTGACGGTCCATGCGCAAAACGGAAAGCGCAGGGCGCAAACGCTTTCAGGAAGTGTCAGAATTCATATTTGCTAATTTAAGGACAGGAAAATCCGCTTTGCGCCGTTTCGCAAGGTCTAAAAAGGTTTGAGTTTATTTTCTTAATGAGTTATAGGTGTGTCTTGAGAATAAACCAATTAGAGTCTCATCTCCCATTCCCTTTAAGAGCCAGCTGCGTCGCGCCAAGAGCGCATTCGCTATTTACAGGACGCAAAGTAAGTGGAAGTGGAAAAACTGAGCATTTCACTAGCAAACAGTTAACAGTTTTTTTAAACAGGAAACAGTTAACCAGAGCATCTACCATGCAAGAATGAGAGATAAATGATCTACTTTCACTTTCGCTCTTGGATAGGGAAACCTTTACGCACAGACATCAATTAGCCTATAAATAATTAATTTAGTTTGTTAAGTGCAAATATTCGTTTCAAAACTATTTCTAAATTCAGTTCTAATTTCCAGCAAACAAATAAATGAACAATAATAACAAAATGTGCTCAAAAACCTGAGTTATATCCTAAAACACATGCTGTGCCCCATATGGTCTAAAACCTGCAGGTGGGCAAATCTAAGCTTGTTTTTAATAAAACAAATATAAATATGGATATAATAAATAATACTGCTAATAATAATAACATTATACAAAAGCAAATTGTTATGAATGAACTGAAAAATCCTCCTGAGATAAAGACATAAAAGCAGTGATTTGTCATATTTATGTAGGCTAGAAAATAATATGTTTTGTAATATTTTATCCTTTATATTTATATCCTATATCTATTCTTATTATATCCTATATATAGGCCTATCCTTAATATTTAAATTTTTTCATATGTAAAGATATTTGCCTATTGCTCTAGATCTTGTGTGTAGGCTATTAAGCAGTGTGTAAGCGAGGCGCAACTCTGCGCTGGAGTTTAGACCAGGTTTGTTTTGGTCTAATGAAAAATCTATTATAGTTTCTCAAAATAGCAACGCGCAAGCGGTCCGCCTCAGTATGCCTTCCTTTTTAGAGCAGAACGCCTATGGGCACACATATGAGCGCTAATGCATTTGCTATTTAAACAGTGTAGCGCAACGCCTCAAAACCACTCTTGCACCAAGCTGAAACTACCAAACAAGTATTGCGCCGCGCCTTGCGCCACATTGCGCCGGGTGTATGATAGGGCCCTCAATGTCTAGAATAAACATTTTAAAATATGAAAATGTTTCTGAAATTCCACGACTCCTGAGAACCCTGATTTATGTGAACATTGTTCACCTTTGTCTTTACTTTTTTGTCAGGTTAGGGGGTGCATTTGCTTCGAATGATACAATTTATTGCCATTAAAATCTACTGAGTGACAACCAAGCGTCCTATTGAATGTAAATGAAACAAGTAAATGCACACCATGACCTGACATGGAAAACATAGGTGAACAAGTACTACAGTGTTATTTTTGTTTTGTTTTTTGCCACACAAAGAAGTTTTTAGAGCTTCGTATGATTACAGTTGAACCACTGAAGTGAGAATGTTTTCAAACATCTCTGGACCATTGCTGTCTATGGAGGATGAGAGAGCTCCTGGATTTCTTCTAAAATATAATATTCTTCTAAAACTTCACTCGTGTTTAGAAGGTAAACAAAGATCTCAGGAGGTTGAAAACACACAAGGCTGAGCAATTAATGACAGAATGTTCATTTTTTTGTGTGAACTAACCCTTTAAATGAACAGCTTATTTTGACATGAATGTTTTGCCATTAGTTACTCATGAAGTATTTCCATCTGTAAACGATTTTTGCCCCCCAGGCTGGTGGTTCGTTAGCACAGAGGATGCTCAAGGTTGGGTTCCAGCCACGTGCCTGGAAGCTCAAGATGATCCGGATGATTTCTCACTTCCAGCAGAAGAAGGTAAAGCCTCCTGAATAAAGCACCTGCAGCTAATATAGTATAATATTGGGGACCTCTTGTTGAATCTGATTTGGCATCTGTTAAAGGTGAAGTGTCAATTTTTTTTTAATGGTCTTTTCTATTTTAATATGCAGAGACTCTAATGCTGGGTTCACAGCAAATGTGAAGGGAACATGTGCATCATGTCAGTCTCTCTAGTTTACTCATTTTATATGTATATAAATACATATCTATATATCTATATATATATATATATATATATATATATATATATATATATATATATATATATATATATATATACCTATATATATATACCTATATATATATATATATATATATATATATATATATATATATATATATATATATATATATATATACTTGCACTGAAGACATGATTTAGGCTGATTTAACGCAGTTGAGCATTTCGCAACACTTAATGTGTAATCATATCCTGCAAATGCTTAAATAAGTATATATAAGCACATTTTCACACTGAGACTAGTAATTCAAACAGGAATACATGCAGTCTGGAACTTAAAGCAGCTTTGTTTAAAAAAAGAAACGCTCCTTTAAAAGCTGTGCGTATTTTATTAGTATTTCATGGGGTTCATGAAAATGTCTGAATGTTCTGCATTAAAATACTTTAGTGTCTTGTATTTTTGTCTTTTTAAAATACTTTGTAAGAAGTTTACATGATGACATAAAAATGTGGCCTTCGGTGCTTTCTTAGTTATTTGCCTAGGTTTGAGATCAGAATACAAAATGTATTAATATTGAAGTAGTTGATAAATGCTTGGAGTATGGATGGAAATTTTGCATCACATATAGACCTTTTTCATGGCTGCTGCATGGAGGGCGCCATAGCGACCAGCGTCTTCCGGTAGAATGCTAAAAACTTCCGTTTACAGCGTGTACAACTGGTAATTTGCGCTCCGAAAATGGGTTTCAATTATGTTTTTAATGGATAACAGAGTGTTTTTGTGACACACAACTTAGAAATGTGTCTGTTAAAGCCGTTTTAATCTGTCACATGTGGTTCAAGCGCGTCAGAAATACGAGAAAAACGTTCTCCTAGTTCACTTGTCTGCCGTCAGAAATACAGTGGGTGTGTGCGTTCCCGGCCTGTCAGCTGTTAGCTCAGCGGCTCTTTAACACACACACACACACAGAAAGAGAGAGAGAGCAAACCAGCATGAAACTTAACAGGTATGAAAGTCGTGCAATTTACAAAAATGAGCAATAAAAGTCTGTTATTGATCCTCTGCTGGCTGATTTGCTGTTCATTCTAGTCGCGAGCCGTTTGTGTTTTATTTCGTGTGTTGTTTTCACCACGGTTTGTGTTTTTCTGTCATTTTGAAATGACACTAGCCTATATTTTCACTCTGTCACAGTTATTAAATCAGTGTGTCAGTGTCACAGTACAGGCTACGTGTGTGTGTGTCAAACATTTTGGTGAATTACATTTGTTTGGGCTGGTTATATATTTGAAATAAAGAGAAAATGTTGACTTTAGCGATGACGAGGCTTCATTTAAACTGCAGAAGATGCCGTCTGACAACGAGGGGGAAACGCCTCACAGCAGCTGTTTTCCATCCTATTAGATCGCATTTCTTTAAATGATCAGTTCAGGAGATGCTGCTGATGGACAACAGTATTAGTTCAAAGAGGATAAAAGCAGGTAAAATAGATTAAAACTATCGTTTCAAAGCTGTCCAAATGTGACTGTTTACACGCATCAGCTGCCGACCGGAAGTTCTTCGCATTCTCCTTGCGCATACACACAAAGCATCATGGGTAATTTTGCGTTCCAAGAAAAAGGTCTATAAAGAAAGTAACAAACAAACAGCAGGGGTAAATTCGGTAGCAGGTCAAAATCAGACAAAGAAATCAAACTTTGGTTTGGACCAGGCAGTTGAAGCAAGTGTGAAAGCACCCGTACTCAGGATAAGAGATGAGCTGTTCTCATTTCATCATATGTGTGTTTTTAGTTCAGTTTTGCAGTACATGGATTAGATATTAAGATCAGATTTTAAGCAGCTCAACATGTAAAGAGAAGTGACCTGAAGCTTTTCACATGTGTCTGCTTGCTCTCTGCTGGAGTGTGCCGGAGATTCTGGTCACTGCCGAGGCACGTTGGTCGCCGGCGTACTTTAGGGGATCTGTTCGGCACAGGCTTTAGCCAAGGTGGAGAGCACAGCACTTTATCCTCCTCTACTGTGATGATGATGATGTCCTCGCATGTCTGACCCGGCATGTGCTGCTGGAACATGCATGTTGCGTAGGTGTGACCACAGCATGAACTGGGGAATTGTGCATCATCTGCTTTTTTTTATTCATTTGTTTTTGTGCAGTATCTTTATTTGACATGCCATCAACTGTTTGACGTGAAGTTATAATTATTATCCCTCCTGTGAAATTTTTAATGCTTTCAAATATTTCCCAAATGCTGTTTTTTTTTTCAACATTTATAAACATAATAGTTGTTTGCGTGAATTTGTTGCGATATTTGAACGATATTGGACGCTTGAACATTTTGAGTTTACTTGCGCCTCCCTGGTGACTTCAGTTTCATTCCAAAATGGCTGACATGAATTTAATTGAGAGAGTAGCTGCGCTTTGTGCTTTAGGAAGGCTGAAAATTGTTGTAGATTTGTTCGCCACTGTGTCTGGGTCCTACATAGCAGGGTTCAACGCTAAGGATTTTTTTTACTTGCCCTGCGAATATTTTCACTGGCCCCACCAAAAAAAAGTTAGGTTAATAGATATTTCTTAGCCACATGTTTTTAATATTGTGTCAAAAATGTGTTTTGAATCTAGAATTTTTATATTTTTAAATTGTTAAAAAATGTATAATGAGCATATCTTCGCATTGTACCCATGTAAATGTCTGCTTCCAAGACATTCTTTTAGCCTCATAAATTCATTTCGTTGTACTGGTTTTTCCAGGTTACAAAAAAAAAACGACATGCTCACAACATCCAATCAGATCAAAGGAACCGAAAAGCAACATGGTGTTTACGACATCACTGAGAAGGCAGCATTTAAAGGCTTAAAAGCACAAACTGTTTCTCAATTCTAAGACTGTATTCATATGCAATTGAGAAATAGTCGCAGACAAATTGAACTCTTGTGACAAGGCACTACAAATCGGGCTAGTAACAATTCTGTCTACTGTCCAGAGCGCCTCGCATGCTGGCCCCGGGCCACCAGGCAGTCCTTATTGTTGAGCCCTGCATAGGTTCACCCAGCTCTAACTCCTCCAGAAGCTAAGCCTGGATGATGGCCGCTTTCAGCTGAGTCCCTGTTTGATGAGCTGTTGTCTGGTGTCGGCAGGAGGATTTCCCCTCTGGACTCCAATTACAGGCGCTACATCATAATCACGTCCCTACTAGAGCAAGCACCTGATTGGTTAACACGACACTGATGTCCGCCAAAGTTCCAATTTTTCAATCAAGCGATTTGAGTGAATCACGAATCATTTGCAGCCGAAACGTTTAATTCGCGCCATATCATTCGCTCAAGTAGCATCATAGGTTGTTTAATCGAGTCTTTGCATTGACTTAACATGTAAATCCCTCATGCTTTGTCTTTGCCATGATGACAGTACATAATATTTTACTGGTCATTTTGTAAGATACTAGAATTCAGCTTGGTGTAATATAACTTAACTAGGTTAATTAGACGAGTTGCATTAATTAAAAAATGTAAATAAAAACTGCTTTTATTTCTACTTTAAGAAATAATAATAGGAAATACTGTGAAAATGGCCTTGCTCTGTTAAACATCACTTGGGAAATATTGGAAAACAAGCCTCAACAATAAGGACTGCCCGATGGCCCGGGGCCAGCGTGTGAGATGCTCGGGACAGTAGACAGGATTGTTACTGGCCCGATTGGGCCACTGATGCCCTGTTACTAAAGTTTAATTTGCCTGTGACTACTTGTCCATGTTTTGTACAGTGATGTTTTGTACAGTTTGACGTCAGTTTGGCAGCCAAGCCATCTTTTTTTTGCAATAAAATGCCTGCACATTTTGCTGCTTTTGTTTGCAAAACAGTTTGAATTTTGCTCATTGTACATTTATTAAAATTTTTTAAATATTTAAATTCTAGATTTACAAACATTTTGACACATTTTTCAGTTTTTTAATTTGTGGCTAAGAAATAGCTATTAACATTTTTTTGGTAGGGACAGTGAAAACATTGGCAGGGCAAGTAAAAATCTGAACCACTGGTCCGATCGGGCCAGTAGAAAAAATCCTTAGCGTTGAACCCTGGAAAAGAAAGAAAATTTCACAGGAGGGCTAATAATTAACTAGCAAATATCTTGAGTAGAGAAACAGAACCAAAGCATGCGAAATAACTCATGTCCATGTGAATTAAGGGCTTTTGACTGATGCATGATTTATCATGAAGTTTGTATATCAGAGCATCAAACCTGTTGGAGTGATGACGTTAGATTGGTCCATAATCATTTAATTCATTAAGATTAAAATGAATTCATAATCATTAAGAATGATTATGTTAATTGGTACATAATCATTCTTCCCGTCAGATGTGTTTACGAGGGAATGATTCTCACCCACCCTCCTTCATCTGCTAGTTATGACTTAACAGAAAGAGGACATTCAGATATAAGCAGTCAGTTAGTGTAAATTATAAATGCAAATGTAAAGTTTGAAGCTTTTACCACTGTATCACATTTACCACTGCGCGTTTTCCATTCAATTTATGTTCACAAAAGAATGAAAGCACCGTAAGTTCAGACAATATTCAGTATGTATAAAAGACAAAAAAACACCAAAAGTAGAAATATTTAATTTTGTTTCTTTAAATTTTGCATTGACCACAGTGTTGTCCAAGTACATCATATATACCAAAGTGATTTAAAGACTATATTTTTCTATGCCAGGCCAGCAGTTGGCAGTATAGCACTTTAACGAATGGTCTGCACCCATACTGTACAGTCCTGTCGTCTGCTATCGTTACTTACAGTACAAATATTATAGACTAAACATAATATGAATGTTTAGAATGTTACAGTTTTCGCAAAACATGTTCTTGTGGCTTACATAAAAAGCTATAAACTTGCACGTTAAAATGCTGTTCTCATGTATATGAACAGCTAAAACACAAGCAGTTTTAAACTGTTTAGTGTAACGCCCTCTAAAAATCCATACATTCAACACCATCTCACGGCAATTAGTAACTTTTTGATTTAGTGGATAATTCATGAGTTCATACAATCTCATTCGTACAATTTAGTACGGTTTACTTATCCCTCAATGATGGTTAGGTTTAAAGGTTGGGGTTTGGTGACACGCCTACATTTAAAAATCATACATTTTCATACGACAAAACTCGTAGAAATTAGCCACTACACTGACAAAACGTAAAATAGTTACGTTTCCTGGTGAGATCAGGCTGACGCGTCTGACAAAGCATCAAATTGTCATTTATTTTAAGAAAAAACATTCTAAGCAAACTATTAAAGCAAAGAAATATACACATCTATTTTAATATAAAACACTGGATCATAAAATCAAGTAGAATTTTTTTTCACTGAATATTTGGCCACCGAAAATCATCCAAGTAAAATAAGATTTTGACCAAAAAAATTAAATTTGCCAAGTTATTAAAAAAAAAAAAAAAAGGCCATGCCGCACCGCATTGCACAGCGCACGTCATGATTTGCCAAGTACGATGCGATCCTGGATTAACATCTATGTTGATCCTGGAACATAATATTTGTTAGAAAATGTAATCCACACCTATTCCCTACCCCTAAACCCAACCATAACTGTAAATTATTCTCAAAAGCAGAGGAGAATAATAGTTGTATAACAATCATGTAGAAGTGCATACACCTAACCGTAAGCCTAAACGTAGCATAAACTGTAAATGTATCCTTTAATTCTGATTGGCTGATTGGAAAGTGTTCCAGAATCAACATAGATGTCAATCCAGGAACATGTCCTACTTGCACAGCGTGATGGTTTCACTCTTCCTCCAGCCATAGCAGTCAAAATAGTGCAATATTCCACTTAAATAACATGTCGACAGAACATTTCCTGGTAGTATAACTGTTCTTGCTGCTTGCAATAGCTCTAATGTGCTGTCATTGCAATGCTGGTAGAATGACACCTTTCAACTTGTTCACTGTCAATAAAATATACTTATTTAATTGGCTTGGGTATAATTAAATTTGTTAAACTGAATTAAGTCTTACAGTTTTACTTTATTTAATGAAGTAATAAAAAATATTCCAAAGCATTTTGGATTTTGGTTTTCAGCTAAGTGCATCCAGACATTTCCAAGGTTTAGACCAGAGTTTTCATTTTGATACATCCCTAATTATTAGTGTTATATTCGTGCAAAGCAGAGAAAGCTCAAGTGGTAAATAGGCTGTAGTGGTTGGATGTTGTTCATGAATGGCACCTTTAAGTTAAATAATTAAAATAACCCTTTCTTATTCTCAGAGGAAAAGTACACTGCAATCTATCCATACTCTGCACGTGATCAAGATGAAATCGATTTGGAGAGAGGCATGACTGTTGAGGTCATTCAGAAAAACTTGGAGGGCTGGTGGAAGATCAGGTAAAGGGGAATGAGTGAATGCGACTGTTTTCAGAAAAAAATCTTTAGCAGTTTCTTGGGTGGAACGTTGTCACCTTACCCCCACAGGTACCAAGGGAAAGAGGGCTGGGCCCCGGCATCTTACTTGAAGAAGGCTGACATTCTCAGCCAGAAGATGGCAGCAGGTGCTCCAGTTCATGCCAGCACTAATGACCTAGACGTGGCTTGCAAACAACAGAACGCTAACAAGGAAAACAAGGAGAATCAACGTGACCGATTTTCACCGTTTTCAGACAGCAAGCGCAGTAAGCAACTTTTTGTTTCTAATGCCTAAATGTGTCAAGTGTTTAGGGTGCAGAAATACAACTTCCCCATATGCTCTAAATATAATGTAGCCAGCAAGTCATTACTGCATAATAATCCCCTTAAGGGAGATCAAGCAACCAAAGCAAAGCCAAGGTAAAATTATTTTGTGTCCCTTGTTGACTCTTTCAAAAAGAACAGGCCAAATCGTGTCTCAATTTACATGATTGGATTGCATCAGGAAGGGTATTTGGCATAAAACAATGCAAATAAATAGATGGATAATCCACTGTTATGACTTCTAATGGGAGCAACTGAATGTAAGAGAGAGAGACTTGCTTAATAAGATTGTTTCTGCCTAAACTATGGCTTCTTCTCTTGCAGAAGTAGGGGCACGACAGAGGCCTCCACCACGCCGAGATCTTACAATAGTAAGGGTTATAATGCTTTTACAGTTGCATGTCATATGGTATTATATCACGCTCTGAAAGGCACTTCAGAGGGAAAACTATCAAGGCCACCATATTGAGGTGTTGTTTTAAACCAATGTGCTCAAAACTGGCCACTTCAAAGGGCTCTTAGAAATAAAGAATACAACTGATGGACAGTTCGGGCCCCCTTGATCCTTTACACTGGAATGTTGTTTGGTGTCAAACAGAGCCTTCCATTCAGGGGTCAACAAACTTGTTCTTGGAGGGCCGGTGTCCTGCAGAGTTACCCTAATCAAATACACCTGAACAAGCTAACCAAAGTCTTATTAGGTATACTTGAAGGTTCCAGGCTGGTGTGTTGACACAAGTTGGAGCTATACTCTGAAGGGACACCGGCCCTCCAGGAAAGGGATTGGTGACCCCTGCTCCATAGGGTAAACCTGTAGAAGAGATTAAGGCATGGAACTTTGCAAATGAAACTTGCTGATACATTCACAAGAGAGAAAATCTGAACCTAGATGGTTTGGGATTTTGACATGCTAACCCTTGTTCAATCTCTACTTGCAGCCACGAGGAGTAAACCTACCTAAACCTCCAGTGCCCCCACAAGTAGAGGAGGAGTATTACACCATAGCTGACTTCCAGACAACCATCCCAGATGGCATTAGCTTCCAGGCAGGACTGAAAGTGGAAGTGAGTGTAACAACCTACAGATCCCAATTTAACATATGATTATTTCACATACATATCTACATTTGTCTTGTATCTTATATTACCAGGTGATCGAGAAGAACTCCAGTGGCTGGTGGTATATTCAGATAGAAGATAAAGAAGGCTGGGCTCCAGTCACATTCATTGATAAATACAAGAAGACTAGCAGTGCCTCTAGACCTAACTTCTTGGCCCCACTTCCTGGTGAGATGGAACAGTTGAAGCTTGAAGATACCTCAAGTAATAGTACCAACTCTGAACATACTTGGTCCAAACCCCTGCCTGATGAACCTTCATCCAACTCTGATCTTTCCACCCGTTCCAAACTGAGAGAATGGAAGCCCAATGCAGCCAAAAGCAGCTCCCATTTTTCTGGACCCTTACCCCCACCTCCATCCTCACCCACAGCTGAAGAGAAGCCAGCTTTACCACCAAGGAGAGAATCCATCAACAAAAGCCTTGAATTGGAGGACAAACCCAAAGCAGAGCTTTCTAAACCTCTCCCACCCAAACCACCAGTCCCAGGGGTCATCGCTCCATTGGTGACTCCAAAAGCAGCTCCTCTGAAACCAGACAAACCCCCAGAAATGAAGAAGGATGATAAGAACAAGCAGCTCTTCCTCCGCAATGAGATGGGCTTGGAGTGTGGCCACAACATCTCAGTCAAGGAGGTGAAAAAGTTTAACCTAAAGCATGTGGCCAAACAGCCTCCCACCAAACCCAAACCGGATTTACAAGAAGACAAGCCTGAATCCCCCAACCCTGCCCCTTTCCTGAAGCCCAAACCGGTGATCAGGCCAAAGCCTGCTCCTGCTGCCAAACCTGAGCCAGTAGCTAAGAATGAACTGGACATCACAAACCTTCGGAGTAAACTTCGTCCATCTAAACCTCCAGAGCTGAACTCAAGTGATGCCAACCAACAGAACGATACGTCATCCAGCAGCCCACCAAACAACAGCAGAACAAATGAAGAGCCAAAATGCCTCCCAAAGCAACAAAACGGCCATGGCCCATCCGAAACAACCAAACCACCAAAGGAGCCTCCGCAGAGGCCTTCTGTGGCACCTAGGAGACCTCCACCACCAAAGAAGAGTTCAGAACCTGCCAGTCCCACAGACACCAGAGCACCGCAGAAAGACTTGCCGGAAGCCAAACCAGCCCCCCCTCCACAGAGCAGACCCCCGCCACCCAAAACGAAAGCCTTCCCTCTGCCTGCCCCCAAAGACAAGGAGAAGGAGGAACCAAAGCCTAAAGTACCTGTCCCACCAAAGCCCCTTGTTAAACCAGACAAACCAGGGCCCCCGAGAGACAAACTCCCACCCCTGATAAAGGAGCCATCCAAAGAGGAGCTGTTCTTAGCCGTGGCGGACTTTGAAGGAGATGAGCAGACCCCTGGATTTAAAGAGGGCGCCGTTTTTGAGGTTATGGAGAGAAATACTAGCGGATGGTGGTTCTGTAAAAATGTGAGCGACGGGCCAGTGATGGAGGGCTGGATCCCTTCCAATTACCTGACCAAGAAACCTTAGGTACTTGACACGGCTGCCTAGAGGAGACTTATTTAATTAACATCCTTTATTTATGGGTACTTATTTGAAAGGCATTCCATCCTTCGCAAGTCCATATTGATTATTAGTTTGCTTGCTTTCGTAACTCTTCCCTTTTTGGGAAAACCGCGTGTGCTTTCGTACGTTAGCACTGAACATCACGTTACTTGCCCATTCTTATGTTAATCAATCCTTATATGTATCGCTAAAGGTTTTAAGTGGCTAGCAATATATAGATGCCTTTTTTGCAGCCTCCATAATATTATGCCTCAGTATAATATGCAAAGCGTCCTGTGTTCTTTTTTGCGTAGTATATGCAAACAAGTCTGAGCAGTGTATATCAGCAGATCGAGTCTAGATTCGATTCTATATTACAGATCCCTTACTAGTAGTAAGTTTGTCGCAACATCTTTTAGTTTCAGCAAAGTATAAATGGTGATCAAATTTGGTCCGCTTTCAGGTTCTGTTTACCAAACTCTTCTAATCGTGACGCTTATTTATCTATGTTAATTTTAAACGAATAGGATCGTTTTTGGTTTTATTCTGCACTTTTAATCAGGGCTTAATTTGTGACGGAACACGCCAGATCCGGATCTGACATCTCTGAAATCTGATCTTTACCGATCCCCCTCCACAACCGCCCTCCTCCCCTGTCTGCTGTTGAGTTTCTCTTTCTTCCGTGACTCCACAACCTTCTTCACTTTCGCCCGCAACCCCCCTCCCCTCTCTTCACTTTCGTCCGCGACACCCCTCCCCCATTGTCTCCGCTTTCACTTTCATGTGCAACACCTCTATATCCTTGGGTAACATGTCGGATCTGTTACCCCAATCTGTTTCTGGGAACTCGCAATTCACAAATTAAGCACTGCTTTTAATAGACCGCGTAAAAACTCTGCACTGTGGAACTGATGAGTAAAGGGAATGTGCATGAGGAGAAAGAGATGCATAAACACACAGCCTGATGGTTTACACGAACAGTGAAACCTATTTCTAGTCATATTTAATTTGAGTTCTGGTTTTCTTGAATATCGTTGACTTACAAAAACAAAAGTCCTAATTGCCCACGGTAGTGAATAATGGAATACCTCAGAGCAGAAATATTATGGTCATTATTTTTCGTCAGTATTGCCCAAAGTATTTTCATACCATTGACAAAGGTGCTTGGATATTTAACAATCATCGTCAAATGTTTTAACACTCATGCTTGACTGGTTTCAAGCATACATTTGATAAACGTGTTTATTGTTAACACTACATTTGAAAATGTGGTTATGTTACTAAACTATTTTGTTGTGTGTGCATTTTTAATTCCATTCATTTGTTTATAAGAAAAATGACAGTGTTAAACAGGTGCCCAGTCTGACTTGACAATACTGGGAGCACCAAAATCACGTTCACTTTGCTCTGTAGTTTTCAGCTCCTAGTTGCTCTAAATATGCATCTATGAAATAACTCGAATTTTCTTTTTAAGATGTGCAAGTGCCTGGGTTAGGAAAGAAGAACAGAAGGTGTCTTTATAGTTCGATGTTTGCAGGACAAGAATACTATGAAGGAGAACTGAGAGTAAGGGGAGGTACGCTGTAAGTATGAAACAGAACTAATGCAAAACACTTGACTAGTTAAAATGGAATTAAGGCCAAGGTGACATGGGTAACCTGTTTTTTATTGTGATATTTTGTCCGTAGAATTTCATTGACGTTTTCTTCTTTTTTTACTTGATGTAAATCAAATAAACGTTTTCAATATTAAAATGTTTATTATTCATTATTATATGGAGTTACATTAAAGCCTGGGTTATACTTCTGCGTCGAGTGATCGCCGTGAACTACGGCGCATGCCTTGCGCGATGCCATGCATTTATACTTCTGTGCGCTGTTTGTGTTGCTCTGCAATAACACTTCCGAAATGCTACTGTAGCTGGCAGTGGGTTTTTATGTTCCTGTGTCAAGTTTCTTCAAGGGTGTTTTGTTTTTTCTGAACGCTACTTTAGGGTGCTTTCACACCTAGACTTTTGTTTCGGAACCTGTCTTATTTGTGTAGTTAGTTTGACATATGTGAATACAGCAAACGTGCTCGGATCTGCGCCAAAACAATCAATTCGATTGTAGTGAGAAAGCGATACGATCCGAGCCCGGCTATATCACAGTGTCTTATGGATATGTAATAGGCATACGGATATATGAAGAGAGAATTATGAGTTGGGCAGGAGGTCATTCCAGACATCCCAAGTCTCCCAGCAGTTCCAGAGACACCCGCAAATGCACAAAGACTCCCGGATCCCCGGAAACGAGTGATAATCTCCCGGAAAATCACGCGTCTTCCACCCGGTCCTCAAATACGTCATGCACCCCTCTCACCCCTCCCACTGCATCCCTCCTCGCTCTTCAGACACGTCGCGCACACCCTGTCAAACACCAAACCACCGCCCCGTTTAGAAACTTTGCCATGCGAAAGCGAATCGCACCAAGAACAACGAGCAACAATGTAACCATCATAATCCCTGTTTTGGAACAAATCAATCGATTCACAGGTGTGAAAGCATCCTTAATGAACAAGTGGCTCAAACTCGCTCATTGTGAGGTGTCAACTGGCAGACGTGCAACAACTTTAATCATAAGGTAAACACAAAACAACAGTTTCAAGAGCTCCTTCATGGGACTTGACACTTGTAACTTTCAACATGGTGAATAAAGCTCCGCCTACTAGTACAGGAGCCAATCGTTGATCGTGTATGGCTAATAAATCCCCGCCTACTAGTACAGGAGCCAATCATTGATCGTATATGGTAAATAAATCCCCGCCTACTAGTTCAGGAGACAACCATTGATCATAAATGGTGAATGAAGCCCCGCCTACTAGTACAGGAGCCAATCATTGATCGTATATGGCGAATAAATCCCCGGCTACTAGTACAGGAGCCAATCATTGATCGTATATGGTAAATAAATCCCCGCCTACTAGTTCAGGAGACAACCATTGATCATATATGGTGAATGAAGCCCCGCCTACTAGTACAGGAGCCAATCATTGATCGTATATGGCGAATAAATCCCCAGCTACTAGTACAGGAGCCAATCATTGATCGTATATGGCGAATAAATCCCCGCCTACTAGTACAGGAGCCAATCATTGATCGTATATGGCGAATAAATCCCCGCCTACTAGTACAGGAGACAACCATTGATCGTATATGGCGAATAAATCCCCGCCTACTAGTACAGGAGCCAATCATTGATCGTATATGGTAAATAAATCCCCGCCTACTAGTACAGGAGACAACCATTGATCGTATATGGCGAATAAATCCCCGCCTACTAGTACAGGAGCCAATCATTGATCGTATATGGCGAATAAATCCCCGCCTACTAGTACAGGAGCCAATCATTGATCGTATATGGCGAATAAATCCCCGCCTACTAGTACAGGAGCTAATCATTGATCGTATATGGCGAATAAATCCCCGCCTACTAGTACAGGAGACAACCATTGATCGTATATGGCGAATAAATCCCCAGCTACTACTAGTACAGGAGCCAATCATTGATCGTATATGGTAAATAAATCCCCGCCTACTAGTACAGGAGCCAATCATTGATCGTATATGGCGAATAAATCCCCGGCTACTAGTACAGGAGACAACCATTGATCGTATATGGCGAATAAATCCCCGGCTACTAGTACAGGAGCCAATCATTGATCGTATATGGCGAATAAATCCCCGGCTACTAGTACAGGAGCCAATCATTGATCGTATATGGTAAAAAAAAAAAAACGCCTACTAGTTCAGGAGACAACCATTGATCATATATGGTGAATGAAGCCCCGCCTACTAGTACAGGAGCCAATCATTGATCGTATATGGCGAATAAATCCCCGCCTACTAGTACAGGAGACAATCATTGATCGTATATGGTGAATAAAGCCCACCTACTAGTACAGGAGCCAATCATTGATCGTATATGGCGAATAAATCCCCGCCTACTAGTACAGGAGCCAATCATTGATCGTATATGGCGAATAAATCCCCGCCTACTATTACAGGAGCGACATCCATCCAGTGGCCAACAATACATCTCAATAAAACCTTATTTTGTAAATAAACAAAAGCTTTTTTTATTGCAAAAAGATAGAATTTACAACAGCAAAATCCCCTAATTAAATTCCCTAATCAGGGAAAGACAACAAAAATCAATTATATGATTCCCCAAGATAATACTGGTGGGCCATTAAGAACGCTTTAATTCAGTCTAAAATTTCATTCTTGCTGGTCTTAAATCTGACTTGATGAAACTCTATGAGCGTATGAATAGTCTCTTTCACTGAAGCTGTATTGGTTTATTCAAATATGCAGCAAAACATTTAGCATTTAAAAGTCTTTAACGTTTTAATAAATGTTGATTCAGTTCATTGCTGTAGTTTAAAACTGATTATCAGCGGTCATCAGTGTCGCATTATTCTTTTATAAACTCATTTTCCACCATTTGTAGTGTGGAAGAGATAAATGCTGGCTATATGTCCAGCAGAGGGCAGCAGAAGAGCTCTAATGTCCAAAACAAGTTACTGTAGAAAACTTCCCCTCACTTTCTTCATAAAGTACGGTCTGATAATTGAGACTATATCGAATTTTTAATAACGCTTATGGAAAATGTCAGTGTTTAAGACAATAGATAGATTAATAAATAACGTGTAGACTGTCTTATTTTGCTCAGAGATGTTTGAGGAGAGTTTCAAACACGTTCGTTAAGCGGAGGAAATATGGCCGCCAACAGATTATCTTCACTGAAATTGCGGGAAAATGCAAAACAACAACATGATTACATTAAAGGTAAGTACGTTTCCCTTACCCTTCATTCAATCATTAAGACCACGGTGTCTGTATCTATACAACTATAAGCGTTTCCAGTTTCTGTTTACTCCAAGAAATAAAAAGAAAGTCACTATCAGGTCACTTATGAGTTTCAGAACTCCTCTCATGAAAAAAAACACTATTGTAATTCATAGTAAATACTATGCTGCGAACCATACTATACTAACGTGTGGCCTATTATACAATATTTAGCATTTACAACACTTTTTGCATCAGACTCAGCTCATAAAATATGGACTGAAACCAATAAATACTGAGTACACTTTAGCTTTTACTTCAGTAGACTGCGTATTGTAGTATTATATTTAATTAGTTAATTAGTTTGTATTACTATTATTTTTGTATATCATCACAGCAACTATAATTGTCCTCAACAGACTATCCAAGTAGTAATTTTTAGTAAACACCATACTGTAGGCTTCATGTGGGTCCACATACTCAGCGGCCACTTTATTAGGTACACGTCCAATTGCTCGTTAACGCAAATTGCTCGTTCTAATCAGCAACTCAATGCATTTGGGCATGTAGACATGGTCAAGACGATCTGCTGCAGTTTAAACTGAGCATCAGAGTGGGGAAGGAAGCTGATTTAAGTGACTTTGAACGTGGCATGGTTGTTGATGCCAGACGGGCTGCTCTGAGTATTTTCAGAAACTGCTGATCTACTGTGATTTTCATGCACAACCATTTCTAGGGATTACAGAGAATGGTCTGAAAAAGAAAAAATATCCAATCTAATCTATCCGCTCTATTAGATATCAATCCAATAGAGCGCCTTTGGGATGTGGTGGAAACAGAGATTGGCATCATGGATGTGCAGCGACAAATCTGCAGCAACTGCTTGATGCTATCTGGTCAATATGGAGCAAAATCTCTGAGGAATATTTCCAATATCTTGTTAAATCTATGCCACGAATAATTAAAGCAGTTCTGAAGGCAAAAGGTGGTCCAACCTAGTACTAGTAAGGTGTACCTAATAAAGTGGCCAGTGAGTGTATAGGAGCCTCTTTACAAAATAGCATTAATAATATAAAAAGAAAACAAGGTCAAAATCTCATCAAATGTTGAACTGTTGATGGCACTACAAGGTTTAAAAAAATATATAATATAAATATATACATATATATATACACACCAGACTTTCCTCTTTTGGATGGACACACACACACACAATCACACACAAAAAAAACGAGTGCTCAGTGCAAATAAAAAAGACCCAAGAGCTAAGCATGAATAATATACATCTTATTTATTATATATACTCTTGTAGAACAACAGTTTCATTCATCTAAACACTCATCCACACTGAACCTCTGCTCACACACAGTTACAGACTCAGAAAAGGAATGATCAACGACATAAAAATAACAATAAAGTAAATAAAATGCCCGTACCTCATTATCAGACACGACTCTCTCGCAAATATAAATCCTTCAAAAAGCTAAAACGTAGAAGTTGCTGTAAAATACCGTGTATAAAATCAATCTGAACACAACTTATTGCACTTGAGTTAGGTGACAGTGCTTTAAACAGCGACATAATCAATCATCAACAATAAAACGTCTGCTCGGCGTACACACAATTTCCAGACGTTTCTAACTTGGCCCTGCGGGTACTGTTGATACCAGCGTGGTCTGATTTATTTTTCTCATCCAGTGTGACGTGTTTACAGTAAATGTGCCACTGACACAGACTTTACCTCACATTTTGGTGAAGATTTCAGAGTAATTAAACGCTGCCTAAAACATTGAAGGACAAAGATCCAACAAACAAATAAAATAACTTACGTACCAAACAACACTTGCGCAGTTCACGGTAGAAAATGAAAACGTCGACAGTAAAAAAAACAAAATAAGACATTTGTACAAAGCTGAACGCTGATTTTAAAAGAAAAGTGATAAAGCTGCAACTTCATACCGAATATATTAAATGATCATAGAAAAAATAAAAATGTATAAGAACATGCGAGGTTTGTACAACATATTTGGCATTGTCGTTTTTAAACTTAAGCATTTTATAATGTTTTAAAATAAAAATAAAAGCGAGTCTGTGATTAAACTAGCTTTTCCGATGCCCTCATTTATAACCAGTACAAACTCCCACCTAAATGAAAGCACTAGTAATGAACTCACTAATCAATGGTTGATGATTGTGTGTAAAGAGACGAGTGAGGAGTCAGTTTGGTTCTTACAATGGTTCTTTGGCTTTGCTGCAGTTTTTCCTTTTCTTTAAGCTGCATTCACAGACTACTGAGCTGATTATTGTGCATATACGGAGAGTAAATGTCTGATTTCCCCTCCAGAAAGTTTTTTTTTTTAATAATAAAAAGCTAAAACACTTGTGTGAAGCTGGCTGTGAGTGTGTGTGTGTGCGGCTGAACTCATGTGGTGGAGGAGTCCATGTACGGCAGGAACTTGGTGAGTTTGTTTGTAGAGCCGACGTTCTGATAGTCAGATTCATCCGTCATCTTGAAGAAAAGCTCCTGCTCTTTTTTCCTCAGGGTCAGTTCGTCTTCCAGAACCTGAGAAAGGAAACCACCGTACGTCACACACACTTCAACATTTCGCTAAATCACTCTAAATTGACAAAACAATAAAACATGTTCAATCAAATATTTTGTACTTACTGTAATAATTAATTATTTAATAATTAGACTTTTGGATAATTGATTAATCTGATACAAATTATACAGTTCATAAATATTGGGACGTTTTATTCTAACATTTTAGGCTCTAAACAACAACACAATGGATTTGACTGTCAGCTTTCATTTGAGGGTATTTACATCCAAATCAGGTGAACGCTGTAGGAATTACAACAGCTTGCATATGTGCCTCCCACTTGTTAAGGGACCAAAGATTATTGGACAGAATAATAATCATAAATCAAACTTTCACTTTTTTTAGAGTGATCGTTTGGGAGCCGCACAGGAAGTGAACCGATCTTAGCCGTGAAAACGAAACCGAAAGCGCGCACAGTGTTGCCAGATGTAGCTGATTGATTCCAGCCCAAACAGTTTTCAAAACCTGCCGAATCGCAAAAATACCCACCCAGTCGTCTGTATTCACGAAAATCACGTCAGTGAAAATGACAGATTGTCAGCATATATCTCAAACACAACAATACAACCTCAGAATTATCATCAGAATTGATGACCAGGACAAACCTAAAGTCTGTTAAAGTCCACCATTCCAAGTCTATACAAAATTTTGCATTTTAACCAACAGTACAGCTACCACAGCCTTAACCACATGTTTGAGAATAACAATAATAATAGCCCACTCATATTAACCTTTATTTTACATCTACAGAATCGTGAGAAAATCCTGACCTTTATTTTTATTTAAACCAGAATTGTGCAGCTCTAGTTTATGGTACAATTTATATATCAATTCAAATATCTATGTAACAAAATTGGTTTGTATAACTTAGTTTCTATGTAAGTGTGTGTATCGCCATGTACATTACAAATGGATATAACACACACATATATATTATATCATGCGATTATGCGATTCTTTCCCCAGCACTAGTTTTTTTACATTAGCAAATTTAATTATAAAAAAATTT